GAGGTGACTGAAGAACAATGGGCCCAATGCTTTCAGAACTGGTTCCATCGAATGCAGAAGTGCATAGATCATAAAGGTCGAATATTTTGAAAAACAATAAAAAAAATTGGTTAAAATAATTGATGTTTTCTGCATTATCCGCAAAACTTTTAAAGCAAACCTACGTATACGTTTTATTCAATCAATTTTTAATTATTTTTTGATAAATTAACGTATATGATTTTCTTTATTATTACTTCAACAAAGATTACTTTTTTGCGATAACACCTGCATTTGGCTCTTATAGGCTTAAGCATATTTAATAAATTAAAGCATTATCAGGCAATACTAGTAATTGGACACAGCATGGAACAGAATCAAAAATATAAATGTGTTATCCGTCGAAAGTATCCTAGTAGTTCAAGTTTTGTGCACGGAGAGGCGCCGCGCCGCCGGTGGACTTGCAATGTAAATTGTAACCTAATCCCTAACCTAACCTAACTCGGCCGACCCGGTTGTAAAGTGAGAAAAATCGATCGAAGATGCGGTGATCGCGCATCCCATATGTTTGAAAATATTATCTCCTGTTATGGAAAAATGTGCACTGTGCGATTGAAGATCGTGTAACAGCGCCAATTGTGTGTATCTTCCGTTTAATTGAAATCTCGCTTCCTCGACAATACTCGACAGTTCTCCAACATGCTCCGTGAACATAACCTTCAAAATTGTGGACAGAGAAAGTAAAAGATGTTGAAATGATGTTCGACTGAGAGGAACGAGATACTCGATCAACGAACAGGTTGTTATTGCAAATTACCACAGGAATTTGCGGGACTTATTTTTTCTTCGATACTCCTTCCTCACGCTATTCAAATGTTTCTCGCTGTTTACTATAACTTAAAAAATTGCTTTTTTCAAATTGCTGGAAAAAAACCAGAAAAATTTCGGTTTTTTTCCGAAAAATTGGTTTTTTTGCAAAAAATTGCCGTGTAAACGATATATTATCAAATTTTTAATATTTTTCATCATATTAAATATGAATTGGGATTCAGAAAGTAATGTAAATAATTTATTTTTACTTGTTAAAATGTGTAAATTTTTTATTTAAATTAGATATAAGCTTATAACTCTTATAAATTATAACTCGTATTTTATAGCATTATTAAAATAAGATATCTCGTGTAAACGCTGGAATTAATGAGTTAATTTTTATGTTTACACTTGAATACATTTGAATATATTTCTTGAGGTGAGGATTATTTATTATTAAATAAACTTTTTTAAAAACGCAATCCTAACAACTACAGTATAAAGATTAATTTAAGCTGATATTTATATTAAGTATTTTTAAAGAGTTTTTGATTATTAATTGTCAAGAGCCATACGTTTTATTTGAAAATACATTAACTCTGTTTTTTTATTTATTCTTATGTAATTTGCTTTTTATTTCTTTAATATTTAACATTATCAGCAATAAATATGTGCTTGTTATAAAATTTTTAAATTTTGAAAAGTGTATCAAATGTTGCAAATGGAAAATGTGATAGGTTTTACGAATATGTACGTAAAATTTTCCATTGAATTTTTCTATCCCTTGAGGAAGAAACCGAAAAAATCCGCGGAAAAATTGAAAAAAAAACCGGTTTTCTTTCGAGTCTTTAAAACTATACTGTTTACAGACCCGCTAGAGAAAAATTGATCCGCACGAGATGGGGGAGATAAACGTGTCCTTTCAAATTGACACCGACAACCGCGAGCACTTCTCGTCCGCCATCGCGTTTCACACCTTCAAGAAGCAGCGAGACGCCTTTTACGATATACTGAGGATCTGGGAGGAGAATCATCTGGTGGCGGGATGGGTGTTCCAAATCGCGCTGGGCGGCAAGATAAGGAGCATGTTGACGTTGCACAGCGACTGCACCAATTATTACCACATCGCCAGGTTGTTCAAGTCGCAGCTGCTGATATCGTGCATACAGAACGGACATCAGGTAAGCTCCAAAAACTTAGTAAAAGTAAGTTCCAAACTTACTAAAAGTAAAAAAAAAAACTTACTAAAAGTAAGTTCCAAAAACCAAAAATAGTATTCTTCTCTTATTTATGTCGCTGCAATAAAGAATTTTCTCAATAACGAGGCAATATCGTGCGTTATTGATCGCAGGACGACGTGGTGGACGACGAGAGCTTGAATTTCCTGAAAGCTCTGAAGCACGTCAATCCTGAAAAATTGACGCAGCTCAGCAAGAGATTTGTGACTCCCCTGCCGTCGCAGAGTCAGAGCGTCGGCCCTTCGTTTCCTGGCATGCAGGAGTTTTTCAAAGATTTCATATTGCATGCATTCAACCCGATGTTTTACACGCATCTGGAGAACTGTTTTGTACACGAGATACTGGAATTGAACGATACTCAGTTTGCTAATAGCGAGATAGAAGACTCAGGTACATCTTTCACTGTTTCAACAACTGTTTGCGTTCTATTTAAGATTTTTAGGAAAAAAATCACTTTCCTGCTTTTTTTTCCTTTTTTTTCACAGAAACAATGGTTGACGATCAAACGCAGCGGAATTTCATTACTTGCTTAACCAGCTTGAGGCTTCTTGCAAAAGTATTAGGACTTTTAGTGTCATTGCCGTACAGATCTGAATGTAATACTACCAAGGAGATTATAATGACGCAAGTAGAGATAAGGAGCAAGGTACGTAACATAAAAATTGTGACCCAAAATGTTAAAGCTATCTGTCGAACAATCTTTTTGATTCCTAACAATATATAAAGACAAGTTCGTCAATGTAATAATAAGTAAAAATTTAATGGAAATAGGCAAAATTAACGAAGATGACAGCGTTTATTAATCTTACAGTACAGAAAACAAAATTTAAGATGGACAGATGCAGTGCATGTTTTGACTTTACTTTAGTCTTCTTCAGCGGTATAAAATAATAACTTAATAAATTAATATAGAGAAACAGAAGTCACATAGTATACATTAAAACACAATAAAACAATAAAATAATAGACATTAAAAAATAGTAAGAATAGTCAACGTATAGTACTTTAAGAGCCGACACAATCATGGTGGTGTTCAAAAAATTTTTCTTTTATTCTGGAGTAGAGCTGTTACTTTTTCCTTACTTCGAATATTCGAAATTTTGAAAAATACATTCGTGCAAATTTAAAAATTAATAATTTTTATTAATTTTACGATTTTAAATTTTCTATTTTTAAGATTGTTTCATGCAGAGGAAGATTTAATGACGCCAAAACAAATTTATATTTTTGTTTATTTATTTAAGAATAAATTTATTTTTCTATTTTTTGAATTTTCTTAATTTGATTACTAGGTATCTGGTTTTATTGATCACTATCTTTCCTTATTAACGTATACCTATATCAAGTTTATTTACTAATTTGTAATATTTCAGGTTATACTTTCAAATTTTTTAGGAATAATTACTTATATATATTTTGTGAGCATAAATATTAATTCTTTTTATTTACAATATTTATAAATTTTCTGAATAAATTCATTTGCACGAATGTATTTTTCGAAACTTTGAAACTTTGAAGTTTCAAAATTAAAACACAATGAATAATAGGCCAAATACGAGTAGACAAACGTTTAAGATGTATAATTTATTTGTTCATAGAAAAATTAATAACAGCGATACCGATAACGAGCCGTTTCTCTCTTTTTATTGTTTCAAAATTAATTTTAAACTTCGAAGCTTCGAAAGAATTCGAAGATTTTGATGCTGAAGCTTCGAAGTTCGAATGTCGAAACCTTTGAAGCAACAAATTAGCCTATTCTGAAGCAGTCTCTGGGTCCACATTAAAAAGTTTTTTTATTTCTGCCACAGGTATTACCATCGCTAAACTTACAAGCCTGCCTTCAGAGCGCCATAGTCGAGGGCAAGCTTTCGCTGACGATACCTTGGATAGTGAAATATCTAGCCATGATGGACATCGTGTCGCTTCGGCTGCCGTATTATAAGCAGATCCTGGAACTGCTGTATTACATTTACCACGCTGTCAATCACACCGATCTTACCGCCCCCGATTGCCTTATTTCTCAACAATCCGCCGTGCTTCTCAAGTCCAGTCTGTCCTGGCTGTTCGACCTACCGAACTTTCCCCGAGATTTCTATATCGCCTTCCAAAAGACTTGCAAGATCAAGGAGCTGAAGGGTCTGAAACAGATGGAGAAGTTTTCCGAGAAGAAGAGGAATTCGCATTCCGTCGATTGCGTGATTCCCGTGAAAAGTAGTCTCGACAAATTGGACATAATTACCGAGCGAACGATGCGCATGTGCTGTCCGCGCACGGAATCGGCTCTCACGGTGTTTCATGGTGGAAACGGGACGAATTTGAATATCAATTCCAACAAGCATATTACACCTGTCACTAGTCAGTTACGTAAATTGGGAGGCACCACCACTCGCGCGAAACATTTGGAGGTATTTTTGTTTTGTTTTTGTAATTATATTTATATCTCTAATATTGCTGTGCGTTTAATAAATTTCCGTCGTGTGTCCAGCTACAGTTGGAGGAAGCCTTTTTCCACGGTCAACCGGCTTCCACGCGAAAGACCGTTGACTTCGTTTCCGAAAGGGTCGCGTCGACTTGCGTGAAGCGCATATGCAACACCCTGTTGGCTACGTCACGAGAAGCAAATTTAAATTCCTTCAGGAAGATTCTGAAGCGGAAGCACGTCGAGAACGACTCCGACGAGCAGGGTGAACTGTCAAGAAATTACTTCAATGAATTTAAGGTATCTTTCTGCGCGATTAGTAGAGAGAACTTTATGTTATATGGAAAAGAAGCTTTTAAGGAAGAATCTACTTTACAAGACTAAAAAAATAGTGATTTTTAAGAATTTTTTTTTATCTAACAATAAGTTAAATGTAATAATTTCAAAAGTTTAACAGTGTTTTACTGTATATTTGAGCAATGAGAAAAAAAGTTTTATTAATAAATAATAGAATGTCTTGACGTCGCTCGTGCTGCTGGAGTTGTTACAATTTCTAGGAGACGTAATGTTCGTCTGAAACGAAAAAACCAAATTTTTTCTTAATTTTTATAAAATTATCTTCTATATGAACTAACAATATTACCAAAAAAATTAAATAATTTTTTTTGTAAGAAAAAAGTCCAAATTTTTTAATGAAAATTTAAAATTTTTTTTTTAATTGTCATAATTTATCTAATTTCTGACATTTTTAAAGTTTCGTTAGTTTATATAGAAGATAATTTTATAAAAATTAAGGAAAAATTTGTTTTCTATTGTTTCAGACAAAAATTACGTCTCCTAGATTGTACACTATCGAACAACTCCAGCGGCGCGACGTTATCAAAACATTCTATTATTTATAAAAAAATCCATTATTAATAAAAAATTTTTTTTATTGCTCAAATATACAGTAAGACACTGTTAAACTTTTAAAATTATTCACTTTTATTTGAGTTAAAAAACAATTCTTAAAAATCACTCATTTTTTTAGTCTTTGTAAAGTAGATTCTTCTCTTAAATCGCAGTTTGACATTTATTTTATTCAGGCTCTGCTTGTGAGCGACATGAATACGTTGGCCAACAATGCGTCGAGAGAGCTGAAGGATCAGTGCGAGAAAGCAATCCCGGGAATCTGCGAGACGCGAGTCGCGGCATCGATAGAATCTCTATTAGCGGAAGACTCGCTAGCGGCGGTCAAGGAAATGTGTATCAAGATCGCGACTAGAATGGCGATGGAACGAATAAATCAGTGGATTCAGTCGCATATCGCCGGCGATTCCTTATTCATTAAGGACATGGAGCTCGAGATTAACAGGTTCTTTCGGAACAGCAGTCCTGTGCATTCCAAGCAGGAGAAACGTCACAATACGAATGCCCCTAGTCCTACTGTCATGATGGACGAGCTTCGGGTGAGGATTATACATAAGTTCGATTCAACAAAGAATTTAAATAACTGAGATTTTCTCTCGGATACATTTTTTCAGACTAAAAAAATTTATTAATTTCTAACGCTTTTCAAATTAATAACTTAAAGTTGTTAACCTTCGATTGTCATATTTGACAAAATGACCCCCAGGTTTTTACATTGGAAAATGATTTTTTTCAAAACTTACTTTCTTTCAAAAATTTTTCTTAATACGATGCCACTTTCATTTTAAATTCTGTACAATCAGAATACGTTTCACAATGTTTGAACTCTATTTAAGAATTTTTGCGATCCAATTGAACTGTTACGTTTTTAAACGGCAGCCTTTTAAAAATTGGTTATGACAAATTGACAAAACTTGACCAAATGATAAAACTTGATCGAAAAGAAAGATGTGACAGCCGAGGTTAATATTTAGACTTAGTAACATTAATAATATTAATATTTAGACTTTTTAATAACATTAATATTTCCCCTTTTTTTACTTACAGGGATTAATATGGCATATGCTGGATGACAATGGTATAGGTTTAACTGTTTCATCTATACTAGAAATTTTAGACAAATTGTATCAGTCATTCAGTCAAAGAGGTGATTTATTACCGGGGCCGCAGAAAGTTTTGTATTATCTCAGTATGGATTTCGCGCTGTTTTTAGGTATGTTTAATAATATTGAAATAATATTGAATTAGAGATGTAAAAAAACGTTTTTTTTTTCTAATAGAAAAAACATTAGAAAAAAACGTGTTTTATTTAATTGAAAAAATACAAATTTGGTTTTTTTCTAATTCCGATAGCACAAT